CTAGATAAATAAATCCTCACTCTTACCTATAATTTGTGTGCTGTAATTTACAAATACATCATATTTGTATGTATATGTTGTAGAGAAAATGTGATATAAATGACATATTGTATAATTGCTCATCGTATGATTAAGAAAAGAGAATAGATATGACATTTAATAATTATATAGTTACTATTACTGATTCTCCTTTGTGTGAGTGGATTCAAATCATCACCTGAAATAACATATTCTTAGCCAGAAAAATGTCATTTAGTATTTTTTGGGGGGGTTGGTTATATGTAAAGCAGAAAGGCTAGTGACAAATTCTCTAATGTCTTATTTTTTAGTATTTGTTTTATCTAGTATGTGCATGATATTCATGTGGTGTGTGTGTGTGTGTGTGTGTGTGTGTGTGTGAGTGATGTATGCTATATGATCATGTAGGTGTGCAGAGGCAAATGCCCTCAATTTTCCCTTGAGACACTAAAACTATAGCTAGGTGGATATTTTTCACATTATTGTGAATGTTCATTTATAGACTTTTCATTGATGTTATGAAGATTTGTCATCTGTCTTCTGATTTTATAATTATTCTCATAATTCTCATCTACTGTTGAGGTGCTCTAATATTTTTTCATGATTTTTGTTTTCAGCTACCGAAGATAGCTTTGTTTTTAAAATAGTCTTTGTCTTTTCATTTATATTTACCATTTGATGAGGTGTTGTTATATCAACTTTTACTTTTTCAGCCCATGATTCATTTACTTTTTTGAATTTTCTTTTAGATATTTACTTGTTTTTAATTGTGTGTATTCCCGTGTGAGTTAATGTGCACTCCATGCATGGAGGCCATAAAGTCGTTGGAGTTCCTTAATCTACAGCAACATTTCACAAGCTGTGAGTTGCAACCCCATTGAGGGGATCAAACAAGCCTTTCACATGGTTGCAAATCAGATATTTGCATATCAGACATTTGCTTTATGGTTTATAACAGAGTCAAAATTATAGTTATGAAGTAATAATAAAAATAATTTTATGATTGAGGCTCACCAAAACATGTGGAACTGTGTTAAAAGGTCACAGCATTAAGAAGGTTTAGAATTACTAATGTAGTGTTTCAGGCAGTTGGGTCTCTGCAAAAGTGTCAATATCAAGTTCCCTTAACCACTGAGATATCACTCCAGCCACACTTTCAGCTTTCTTATGATTGTTCAGTGAAACAATTGACTTATGGTTTTGCTCACATTTTTGTTCATTTTTAAATAATTAAAAAACCTTCCTCTAATTTTTTTGTTTTGTTTTTTTTAAATGGTTAGTTTTTTTCCCTGAAGACTTTATTTATTTATCTATCTATTTATTTATTTATTTACTAAGTATACAGTGTTCTTCCTGCATGTCTGCCTAGAGGCCAGAAGAGGTACCAGATCTCATTATAGATGGTTGTGAGCCACCATATGGTTCCTGGGAATTGAACTCAGGACCTCTGGAAGAGCAGGCAGTGCTCTTAACCTCTGAGCCATCTCTCCAGCCCCTTCCTCTAAGTTTTAAAAAATATGCAATAAATTATTTTTGACTTATACTTACCCTTTTGTAGTATATAACACTATAATCCATTCTTTCTATTTATGCCTTGGTTCTTATTATCACATCACTGATAATGTGTTTTTAAATGTCAAATCAGTGACTCCAAATAGAATTCTGTGTACATTAAGCAGCCATTTTAAAAAAGAAATGTTTATCACACATCTAACAAGTGGAAAACACAATACTTTAAGAAAGATTTTTTATCTACTCTTGTAGTTATTAGTAACTTTTTATTTAAACTTGTGTCCATACAAGTCACTCATACTAAATGTACCTTTTTGTCATTACCAATAGAAGAACAGACTTGAAGTCATCGAAAATTTGGATTTAAAATGTTGGTTTCTTTTTTTTAACATTTTTAAAAATTTCAAATAGCTTGTTTCACATGTCAATCCCAGTTCCCTCTCCCTCCCCTCCTCCTGCACGCCTCCATCATCCCCCCCATCCTCCCATCCTATTGTCAATTCCTTCCGCATAGGGGATATCTAGAGTCTATCATTTCATTCAGGGTAGGGTCCAGGCATTTCCCTAAGAGTCCAGGCAGAGAGAGCAACCCTCTTTGTGTTACGGACACATGATTTCTGTTAGTATTTGAGGGATACAATTTTTTTAAAAGTCCTAGTAATTTAGAAACTTGACCTCTAGAGAATGATAAAGGTATACATGTGAATTATGCTTCATAATATTGTAAAATAAGATGTGGCCCCACAGAATACAATGGAAAGTATTAAGGGAAATGAATACCTATGAACTCATTATAACACTGGTAGATCATAGCTTTCCATCCCCAAATCCCTTCCCCTTTCCTCCGATTCTCTAATCTAATCGCATCCATCTTTTCCCCTAAACAGATTCCAGTTGTTGAACCTTATTGTTTTTACTCCTCCTGTTTTGCATTTCCCTTCCGGAAACATTGCTAACCTAGACAAAGGTATAGTGAGTACTTACATGTATACACCATTGAACTAACCTAAGTGATACAGTATGATGCAGCTAAAGTTCACCATGTACCCCTACCCTTTAAATACTCCCCTTTTCTAAAAATTATAGCCAGTAATCCTAAATAGGTATTATCATTATCATAGAAGAGTCTTTGCATGCTACATAAGCATTCATCACACATATTCGCTTTAATATATATGCTTAAATACTTGTAGTCATTGTTGTTTTACATGTTTGTTTTTAAACTTTATATGTGTGTTATAATGTATCCATAAATTCCCTATTTTTCTTATATGCTTTTCTCCACTACACCATCCAATATCTTTTTTAGGACTTTCTCTGTGTCTTAGACCTCAGAGAATTGTAGGATCTCCCTGTACTGTCCCTCATCCAGGATCCAGTATTTATTGTTTTATTCAACTTATTTTAAAGGGAGCCAAGAAGTTGGCTTTGCTCACAAACGCCCAGTTGCTACTGATGCTTTTCTTTTTCCCTGTGTTCAAGGGACTCATCTTGTTTCCAGACAAAGTGAGTCACTTGTCAGTTTCTATGAATACAATTCAGACTATGCTAGAACTCCATCTGTGGTTTTTTTTTTGCAATTTGTAAACAATCCTACTTCCCTCCCGTCCTTCCATTTTCCCCACCATTCCCCCAGCTGTACACCCCATCCAATCCTCAGGGAGGGTGAGGCCTTCCATGGGGCATCATCAAAGTCTGTCATATCATTTGGGGGCAGGACCTAGGTCCTCCCATGTGTGTCTAGACTGAGAAGGTACCCTCCATAGGGAATGGGCTCCAAAAGCTCATTTGTGCACGCTGATTAAATTCTGGTTCCACTGCCAGAGGCTCCATAGACTGTAGAGGACCCCCAACTGATACCCACATACAGGCGGCCTAGTTACGTCTTATGTATTTCTGTTATTTTCAATAAATGGTTTAAACTTACTAATGCAATTTATTGAAAGTGTAATATGAGGACTTAAAACAGTTAAAAGTGATCTGCATCTGGGACTGGTAGGCTACAACAAAAATATATATCAGTCAACTTGAGTTAGTATTATTTATACAAAAATTTCTACAATTCATTTATATTAAATGAATTTTAATTTTAATGTAACAAATGATTAAACAATGGGGGAAGTATTCAGTATATACTTTTAGATGAAGAAGTTGAGAACAGTATCACTGGTGATAATTTGCATCTGTGAATAAATTTTAGAAGATCTCAAATCCATGAAGAACCGATTCATCGATTCCATCTTCATTCATAGCTTCCTTTGCCCTCTATCTGTAGGAAGAATAAGAGATAATTAACAACTGGAAAACATTAACATGAACAACTTTTATCGATCTTAAGCTAGTCTATCAATCATATACTTCTGTTTTCTTAACAAAACCATTGAGCATATTTTCTTCTTGAAACACAAACACTTGTATGTCAGGATACTTCTATCATTTAATGCCTTCAATTAGCCGACCCACGAAAGGTTCCCTAATACCAGGCAGGCCATGGTTTTTTTCTGGCTATACTATGACCTTGCAAAGATACAAATAGGTTATTCTATGATAAAATCTCCTCTAGTAAATCATAATTTTTAAAATTTTCATGCCATTCCATTTAAAACAGTAGGCAACCAAAATCCAGTAGTCTTGGCAGTGTCCCAGTGGCAGATACATTTCTGAACTTCACATTTTGCTGCTGCATACATTTCTTTAGGGTGCTTTGCCCCTTTTCCTAACAGCATGAACATCCTGTCCTTCTGATTATTTCTGATCCTTTGGAAGGAAGTAGAATCATTTCCATCTTGTTGAATTTAAATATGTTTAGACCTTCATTGAAAAAGCATTTGTTGTGTTTGAAGACAAACTCTCTAGTGCATCTGTCTCATTCATTTCCCCCAACCTCTACATATTTGATTTTTACAACTTTCAAGTATTCTCATAGATCTTCAGCATTGTCTTGGATCATCCTACATTAGATCATCTTTGAATTCTTAAAACTTTCATCCAAACAATATATAGGATTTGCTTGCTGTTTGCCTCTGGTGTCTCCATCCTCCCAAGGTCCTTCCTAAACATTCCTTAACAACCAATAGTCAGCTAATGTAGAATTGTATCCTGAATTGGTAATCTTATTAAACAGACTGGTAAAAAGCATACAACCATTCCTTCCAAGTAACCCAATAACAGGGTATTTATTACAAATCGATTTACACTTGAACTCCAAGTTTTCTGTGTATGGCCTGCAAGTGAACTACCAATGCCAACAGATACTGAATGGCAAACATCTTTGCTGATGTTTGGTGTCCTTGTTCCCTTTGTTGAAAAATCAGCACTTGATAAAGTATGGAAGTGTTAGTCAAGGATTCACCCTACTGGATCGTGTCACCCTCAGCATCCAATGAGCTGTGTTATGAACCTTGAGATTGTTTTGGAGATGTTACAAATGATAGCGGTCCTGGAGGTAGCTCCTCCAATTAGACACTCACCTTCCCAATGCTGAGCTTCCATTGCCAGGTCTGGACTTCTTGGAGATATTTTGTCTCTCTTGAATCTGTGATTGTTCAGGGACTGAACTTTTTGTGCCTTGCCTTGGGTGAAGAAGAATGCAGTTGTTAATATCACATATACACACTTTAGTGGTGTGGTATATTTAAGAGAAAAAGTAGGTGAACTCACAGGCATGCAGGATGATCTCCTCACATGGAATCTCATCTTGTTTGTCCCCTTTGTTGTCCTCTTCCTCCTCCTCCTCTTTCTCTTCGTATTCATAGTTGTCATCGTCCCCCTCCTCCTCATCTTCCTCATTATTGTAGTACTGGTCATCTTCTGCTTCCTCATTCTCCTGTACATTGTTCCAGACATACCAGTCCTCTTCCACATCTGGCCACACATCCTCATCTTCAGGCCACATGTCCTCTACATCAGGCCAGACGTCCTCCTCACTCCAGATGTCTTCCACTTGAGGCCACATCTCCTCAACACCAGGCCACATTTCCTCCTCCCCACACCCTTCCTCCAGCATTGCCCAGACGACTTCCTCACACCAGATGTCTTCCACTTGAAGCCACATCTCCTCAACTCCAGGCCACATTTCTTCCTGCCGACACCCTTCCTCTGCTGTTGCCCAGATGACTTTCTCACGCCAGATGTCTTCCACTTGAGGCCACATCTCCTCAACTCCAGGCCACATTTCCTCCTGCCAACACCCTTCCTCCACATCAGGCCAGAAGTCTTCCTCACGCCAGATGTCTTCCACTTGAGGCCACATCTCCTCAATTGCAGGCCACATTTCATCCTGCCGACAGCCTTCCTCAACATCAGGCCAGATATCTTCCTCACACCAGAAGTCTTCCACTTGAGGCCACATCTCAAAATCAGGCCATATTTCTACCTGCTGACACCCTTCGTCAACATCAGGCCAGACGTCCTCCTCACTCCAGATGTCTTCCACTTGAGGCCACATCTCCTCAACACCAGGCCACATTTCCTCCTTCCCACACCCTTCCTCCACCGTTGCCCAGATGACTTCTTCACACCAGATGTTTTCTACTTGAGGCCACATTTCCTCAACTAAAGGCCACATTTCCTCCTGCCCACACCCTTCCTCTGCCTTTGCCCCGACGACTTCTTCACACCAGATATCTTCCATTTGAGGCCATATCTCCTCAACACCAGGCCACATTTCCTCCTGCCGACACCCTTCCTCCTCCGTTTCCCAGACGACTTCCTCACACCAGACATTTTCCACTTGAGGCCACATGTCCTCTACACCAGGCCACATTTCCTCCTGCCGACACCCTTCCTCCACCATTGCTCTCATGACTGCTTGAGAAACCAGAAACGCTATGGTTCCATCGATGTCATCATTAGCATGGTTGATTGGAAGCATGAGTAAGACAATTTGTCTCGCAACGTGCCCCATCCCGCCACCTTCTTGCTGTTGATCAGGTAATCTAGGCTCCTGCTCTATAACAGCTGACATGATAGAAATTACCTGACAGCGAAGATCTTATTGAAACGCTGAGCTTTTGAAGGGGTTGGTGGGCTGAGGCGTTGTTGTGAAGGCAACTACCACGAAGAAGAGTGAGGATGTTGGCTGCCGGTGCCTCCTTGGAGGCACTGAGAGCAGTAGAGAAGGTTTTCCACTAGTGAACCTATGGAGTTCGTACGTGTGGAGCCCCTGAGTAAAGAAGGGCTAGACAGCACCAGGAGGAGCAACGGACTGAGGTGGGCCACAAGATGGCTGAGGACCAGGTATGAGGGGGCGGAGCCTTGAAGGGTAATAATGGCCCCTCTCACACGTCACCAGAACTGTAAGCTCATTCGTCGAGACATAGTGATTGACACTCTTTGTGTCCAATCGGGGATAACGGCCCTTGAATTCAAGGGACTGCTCAGAATCACACCTTTTTCCGTTGAGGCCTTACTGTCTTGGCATACTTTTAAGGTGATAGGAGCCCTGTACTTTAAATTTCATATTGTCAGGACATTAATGGGTTATGCCAATATAGACAGTTATAAAACAATTGTAGAAGGACAGGAAAGATAGCTCAGAAGAATACTTACTGCTCTTCTATAGGACCCAGGTTTGATTCCCAGCACCCACGTGGTGGTTAACAACCATTTGTTACTCAACTTCCAAGACATCTTGTACCCTCTAATCTCATTGGGCATTGTATACATATGATGTACAGGCATACATACCAGAAATAGCACTAATACACACAGAAAAAAGATCTAAAATAATTAAAACCTGATCATTGTATAGCTCATATTCAAGCAGTGGTAAAAATAAAGGAGACAGGAAAGAGCCAATATTGAAAAGTTTAAATGGTTACAGTCAAAACTATGGATTGAAAGTGAAAAGTCAAACAAACCAGGACATGGAAAGTATTTAACTCCCACTGCCAAATCCACATTAATCCTCCTATAAATGCATGCAAAAAGAGAAAAATCATGTCACAAAATAAAAAGACAGGTTTTCTAGGATGTGTTATCTAAACTAAGACTTTCTGTTTCATTTTCCCAGTTAGACAAGAATTCAAAATTCCAAAATATAAAGCATTTTCTAATATGAAGAAATTCAATACCATTTCATATTTAGAGTGAAAATCTTTAAACATAAAAACATCCCATTTCAGGGGTATTACACCCACCAATCTCCTTAATCACTCACATTCCTTTCCTTTTCTATCCCTTCCTTTCCTCATTCCTCTTTCCTCTTTTTTCTTTCCTTTTTTTCCCCTTTTGTGTTTCTTCTCCTCTCTTCTCCTTTCCTTTGCTGTCTCTACCCAACAATATGTTTTCATGACTCTCAGATGAAGAGTTTAACTAAATTATGTGTTCTTCATCCAGATGTGCCTTAGTATGCACATGCAGGAGACCAGCACAAGCTCATGATAGACAAAAATCTCAATATGGAGAGGGGAGGTTGACAAGAAGTCCCTCGCCAAGATGAGATGTTATTGGCAATTGATAGTGGCTTGGAGAGGGAAAGTCAGTTTTCTCTAAGGGTGTGGCTCCTGGGAGATCAGCCACACTGCAGGGGAAGGCTACATATTCAAGAGTATATGAGCAGCTTAAATTGGACTCAGTGGGCTTGAGAAACAAAAGAAGACATGAAGTTAGGTGGTGCCCTTGTACAGTTTCTGCTGCTGTGCTAACTTACAAAGCATTTAATTTGAGGCTTCAGAGTGATAGTCCATGACCATCATGGTAGGGAGCATAGCAGTAGGCAGTCATGAATGACACTGGGCTGTAAGTGAAAGTTTATGTTTTATTAGCAAGGTAAAGGCAGAAAGATGGGAAAATCTGGGAATGGTGTAGCCCACCCCAGTGACACGCCTTCTCCCAAGACCACACCTCCTAATTCTTTCCAAACAGTTCCAACAACTGGAGATCAAACATTCAAATATTTGAACTTATGGGGGGCATTCTTCTTCAAACTACAACAGGTCAATAGGAGAGTGTTTTGGGCCTACGAAATAGTGGGGGGATGATGAAAATGATCATAAGACATTGGGTAAAATCTCAAAATTAATAAAAAATGAAAAATGGTTATGCTACCTCTTCAATGGTCTAAAAGGAGTGGGGGGTCTCTCAACATTGGACAAAACATTCTGACACTGATAACTAAACGTGTTTTTATTTTTCAAAGCTTGTTTATCTCAGGTAGTTTGTAACAGTAATATAAAGCTAATTTACCTCCTTTATAATGGTATATTATTTTGTTTTTCTGTCTCTTCAAGTTACTATATGAAGCACAATTCTTGGCCAGAAATATAAATCCACACTTTTAACTATAACTTGTGTGCTGTAGTTGGCAAATATATCATATTTGTGCACATATGTTACAGAGAAAATGTGATATAAATATTATGTTGTATAATTGTTCTTCATATGGTTAAGAATGGAGAATATATGTGACTTTTAATACTTATATAATTACTATTACTGATTCTCCTTTGTGTGAGTGGATTCAAATTATCAGCTGAAATAATACATTCTTAGCCCGAAAAATGTCATTTATTTTTTATTTTTTTGGTTTGGTTATATGTATAGCACAGAGGCTAGTGACAATTCTCTAATGTCTTATTTTTTCAGTATGTGTTTTATCTAGTATGCACACTGTATTCATGTGATGTACATATGTGCTTGTGCATACATGTATGCGTGTGTGTGTGTGTGTGTGTATGTGTGTCTTTTTCTGTGTGATGTATGCTTTATGCTCATATAAGTGTTCGGGGCCAAATGCCCTCCACTTTCCCTTCCTGCTTATTCTCTTGAGACACTAAAATCAGAGCTAGGTGGATATTTTTCACATTATTGAGAATGTTCATTTATAGACTTTTCATTGATGGTATGATGATTTTTCATCTGTCTTCAGATTTTATAATTATTCTGATAATTCTTATCTGCTGTTAAGGTGCTCTAATATCTTTTTTATGTTTTGAGTTTACAGCTACAGAAGATTGCTTTGTTATTAAAATAGTCTCTGTGTTTTCATTTATATTTACCATTTGATGAGGTGTTGTTATAATATCAACTTTAACTTATTCAGCCCATGATTCGTTTACTTTTTTGAATTTTCCTTAAATTATTTACTTGTTTTTATTCGTGTGTATTCCTGTGTGAGTTAATGTGCACCTCATGCATGGACGTCATAAAGTCATTGGAGTTCCTTGATCTACAGCAACATTTCACAAGCTGTGAGTTGCAGCCTCTTTGAGGGAGTCAAACAAACCTTTCACAGGGGTTAGAAATCAGATATCTGCATATCAGATATTTGCATTATGTTGTATAAAAGAGGCAAAATTATGCTTATGAAATAATAATAAAAATAATTTTATGATTAAGGCTCACCACAACATGTGAGGGTCACAGCATTAGGAAGGTTTAGAATTACTGATCTTGAGTTTCAGGCAATTATGAGCCACCATGTAAGTGCTAGGAACCAAACAGTGGGCCTCTGCAAAAATATCAATATCAAGTTCCCTTAACCACTGAACTACCACTCCAGCCACTCTTTCAATTTTCTTATGATTGTTCACTGAAATAATCGCCATCCGGTTTTCCTCACAAATTGTTCCTTTTTAAATAATTAAAAAACTTTCCTCTTCTAGTTTTTAAAAAATATGAAACAAATAATTTTAGACTGTACTTACCTTTTTGTATTAAATAACAGTATAATGAATCCATTCTGTCTTTTTCTGTCTTGGTCCTTATTGTGCCATCAATGATAATGTGCTTTTAAATGTCAACACTGGTTAGCCCAAATGGAATTCTGTGTACATTGAGCAAGTGTTTTTTTGAAGAAATGTTTATTAGACATCTATAAAGTGTAAAACACAATAATGGGTACTTTAAGAAAGGTATGTAAGTCAAACTTTTTTGTGTGTTTTATTTGAGCTAGGGTCTCTCTGTGTTATTTTGGAGGCTGTCCTCGAACTTCCTTTGTAGACCAGGCTGGCTTGAAACTCACAGAGATCCGCCTGTCTCTGCCTCCGGAGTTTTGGCATTAATGGCATGTGCCACCAACACACTAAGTCAACCTTTTAAAAGTTCCTAATAATTTAGAAACTTGACCTCTAGAGGATGACAATGGTTTGCATGTGAATAATGTTTCTTAATATTGTAAAATGAGATGTGGTCCCATAGAATACAACAGAAGATGTTAAGGCACTGTGTACCTATGAAGCTTTATAATACTAGTAGACCATAACTTCCACCCCCAAATCCTGTCCCTTTTCCTTTGATTCTCTACTATAGACACATACATCTTTTTCTCTTAAAGAAATTCTAGTTGTTTAACCTTCTGTTTACCCCTCTTGTTTTTTTACTTCCCTTCCAGAAACATTCCTAACCTAGACAAAGGTGTAGTGAGTCCTTACATATATACACCCCCTTGAACTAACCTAAGTAATATAGTATGATGCAGTTGAAGTCAATCACGTGCCCCTACCCTTTAAATACTCCCCTTTTCCTTAAAAATATAGCAAGTAATTCTAATAGGTACTTTCATTCTCATAGAAGATTCTTTGCATGCTATATAACCATGCATCACATGTAATCACTTTACTATTTATGCTTATATACTTGTAATTATTGTTGATTTACATGTTGTTTTTTAAACTTTATATGTGTGTTATAATGTATCCATAAATTCCCTTTTCTTCTTATATGCTTTTCTCAACTACACTATCCAATATTGGCTTTTTTTTAGGATGTTCTCTGTGGTGTCTTAATCTTCTGAGAATTGCAGGGTCTCCCTTTACCATACCTTATCCAGGATCCAGTATTAATTGTTTTATTCAATTTATTTTAAAGGGACTCTATTCAATGATATCATGCTGGTCCAATCATAGTGGAGCATTACTCAGAATTAGCAGTTTTAAAATTATGATGACATAAAGAATAAACAAGATCTTCAGAAGCTCTCCCAAGTCAATTTGAGAATGTACTATCCATTGCATCTTGAATGGAGCCAAGCTGTTGGCTTTGCTCACAAATCCCAAGGCAGCCTTTCTTTTTCTCTGTGCTCAAGGGCCTCATCTCTTTTCCAGACAAAATGGGTCACTTGTCAGTTTCTGTGAATACAATTCAGACTCTGCTAGAACTCTATATGTGTGATTATTTTTTGCAATTTATAAACAATCGTATTTTATTTGCCAATCCCAGTTCCCTCTCCCTCCTGGTCCTCCCATTCTCCCCACCATATCCCCACCGCCCACCACCATCAAATCCTCAGGGAGGGTGAGGCCTTCCATGGGCTTCATTAATGTCTGTCACATCATTTGGGGCAGGACTCAGACCCTCCCCCATGTATCTAGACTGAGAGAGTATCCCTCCATAGGGAATGGGCCCAAAAAGTTCATTGTGCACCCGGACTAAATGCAGGTTCCACTTCCAGAGGCCCAATAATCTGTCGAGGACCCCCAACTGACACCCACATTCAGCCAGTCTGGTTAGGTCTTATGTATCTCTGTTTTTTTCAATAAATGTTTAAAACTTATTAATGCAATTTATTGAGAGTGGAATAAGAGGATTTAAAACAGTTAAAAGTGATCTGCTTCTGAGACTGGTAGGCTAAAACAAAAATATACATCTATAAACTTGAGTTAGTATTATTGATACAAAAATTTCTACAATTCATTCAACTCAAATGATTTTTAATTTGAATATAAAAATTGAATAAACAATGGGGGAAGTTTTCAGTATAGACTTTTGGATGAAGAAGTTGAGGACAGTATCACTGGCGATAATTTTCATTTGTGAATAAATTTTAGAAGATCTCAAATCCATGAAGAAATGAGTCATCGATTCCATCTTCATTCATAGCTTCCTTTTCCCTCTATCTGTAGGAAGAATAAGAAATAATTAACAATTGGAAAACATTAACATGAACTACTTTTATTGGTCTTAAGCTAGTCTATCAATCATATACTTCTGTTTTCTTAACAAAACCATTGAGCATATTTTCTTCTTGAAACACAAACACTTGTGTGTCAGGATACTTCTATCATCTAATGCCTTCAATCAGCCAACCCACAAAAGGTTCTCTAATACCAGAAAGTACTTGTTTTTTTCTGGCTATACTATGACCTTGCGAAGACACAAATAGGTTATTCTATGTTAAAATATCTGCCCTCTAATAAATCATAAGTTTTAAAATTTTCATGCCTTTCCATTTAAAGAAGTAGGCAACCAAAATCCAGTAGTCTTCGCAGTGTCCAGTGGTAGATACATTTCTGAACTTCACATTTCTGCTGCTGCATACATTTCTTTAGGGTGCCTTCCCCATTTCCTAACAGCATGAACATCCTTTCCTTTTGATTATTTCTGATCCTTTGGAAAGAAGTAGAATCATTTCCATCTTGTTGAATTTAAATATGTTTAGACCTTCATTGAAAAAGCATTTGTTGTGTTTGAAGACAAACTCTCTAGTGCATCTGTCTCATTCATTTCCCCCAACCTCTACATATTTGATTTTTACAACTTTTAAGTATTCTCATAGCTCTTCAGCATTGTCTTGGATCATCCTACATTAGATCATTTTTGCATTCTTAAAACTTTCATCCAAAAGCAATATATAGGATTTGCTTGTTGTTTGCCTCTGGTGTCTCCATCCTCCCAAGCTCCTTCCTAAGCATTCCTTAACAACCAATAGTCAGCTAATGTAGGATTGTATACTGAATTGGTAATCTTATTAAACAGATTGGCAAAGAGCAACAAATCACTCCCCCCAAATAACCCAATAGCAGGATATTTATAGAATTACATTTCTACTTGAACCCCATGTTTTCTGTGTATAACCTGCAGGTGAGCTACCAATGTCAACAGATACTGGATGGCAAACAGCTTTGCTGATGTTTCGTGACCTTGTTTGCTTTGTTGCATAGTAAGCACCTGATAAAGTATGGAAGTGTTAGTCAAGGACTCACTGTACTGGAATGTGTCACCCTCAGCTTCTTCTGAGCTGTGTTATGGACCTTGAGATTGTTTTGGGGATGTTATAAAAGGTAGCTCCTCCGATTAGACACTCACATTCCCAATACCATGCTTCCTTTGCCAGGTCTGGACTTCTTGGGGATATTTTGTCTCTCTTGAATCTGTGATTGTTCAGGGACTGAACTTTTTGTGCCTTTCCATGGCTGAAGAAGAATGCAGTTGTTAATATCCCATATACACACTTTAGTGGTGTGGTATATTTAAGAGAAACAATAGGTGAACTCACAGGCATGCAGGATGGTCTCCTCCCCCTGAACCTCTTCTTGTTTGTCCTCTTTGTGTCCTCTTCCTCCTCCTCCTCATACTCCTCCTCTTCGTATTCATAGTTGTCATCGTTGTCGTCCTCCTCATCTTTCTCATTATTGTAGTACTGGTCATCTTCTGCTTCCTCAGCTTCCTCATTTTCCTGGTCATTGTTCCAGGCATACCAGTCATCTTCCAAGTCTGGCCACACCTCCTCGTCTTCAGGCCAGATATCCTCCACATCAGGCCAGACGTCTTCCTCAAGCCAGATGTCTTCCACTTGTGGCCACATCTCCTCAACACCAGGCCACATTTCCTCCTGCCAACACCCTTCCAACACATCAGGCCAGACTTCTTCCTCACACCAGATATCTTCCATTTGAGGCCACATGTCCTCAACTCCATGCCACATTTCCTCCTGCCGACACCCTTCCTCCACCATTGCTCTCATGACTGCTTGAGAAACCAGAAACGCTATGGTTCCATCGATGTCATCATTAGCATGTTTGATTGGAAGCACGTGTAAGACAATTTGTCTCGCATCGTGCCCCATCCCACCACCTTCTTGCTGTTGATCAGGTAATCCAGGCTCCTGCTCTATAACAGCTGACATGATAGAAACTACCTGACAGCGAAGATCTTATTGAAACGCTGAGCTTTGAAGGGGTTGGTGGGCTGAGGCGTTGTTGTGAAGGCGACTACCACGAAGAAGAGTGAGGATGTTGGCTGCAGGTGCGTCCTTGGAGGCACTGAGAGCAGTAGAGAAGGTTTTCCACTATTGAACCTATGGAGTTCGTACGTGTGGAGCCCCTGAGTAAAGAAGGGCTAGACAGCACCAGGAGGAGCAACGGACTGAGGTGGGCCACAAGATGGCTGAGGACCAGGTATGAGGGGGCGGAGCCTTGAAGGGTAATAATGGCCCCTCTCACACGTCACCAGGACTGTAAGCTCATTCGCCGACACAATGATTTACACTCTTTGTGTCCAATGAGGGACAACGTCCCTTGAATTCAAGGGACTTCTTAGAATCACACCTTTTTCCGTTGAGGCCTTACTGTCTTGGGATACTTTAAAAGTTCTAGGAGCCCTGTCTTTTACACTTCATATTGTCAGCACAATAGTAGTGTATCAATATTAAAGAGCCTCTCTGCGCTGATTTCTATTTGGCATGGGTTATGCCAATATAGACAGTCATAAAACAATTGTAGAAGGACAGGAAAGATTGCTCAGAAGAATACTTACTGCTCTTCCAGAGGACCCATGTTTGATTCCATCTGTATTCTCTGCAAGCTACAACACCTTTCCTGACAAGATACCGTGTAATAGTGGCATGGATGTTATGGGAATATATCCAACTTCGATTTGAATGATCTAAGTCCTGCTCCATGACATAGAACCCATATCAGGTACTGTTTAAATGTCCAAGAAACTGTGACTGCACAGATTATTGGTGCTTTAGTAATACTTAATACTATCATCATTCTACAAATAGACATAAAACTAATGTGGCTTCCAATGACTTATTGCTATTACCATAGATCAGAACATCTCTCAACCCTCACCATAGAAGCTTCTACTTGTAGTAGATGAGAAATAACAGAATCTCTAAACTTGTCAATATTCAGAGAAACAAGAAACCATGGAGTACTCAGCTCTAAATGGGACATACGTATCACACTCCCTACATCCAAGGCTCAGTAATACTCTCAGCAGTGTGGGTGGAATGATTGGAAAAGCCTGAGGTGGTGGATAACATCAAGGAAACTGTGTTCTCTATACATGAAAGACTGAACAGTTGCAGATATGAAGTCACAGTTATTGTGACAGCACACACACAAGACCTGCACAGGCTCAAGTCAGACAAAATCTCAGCATGGAAGGGGGAAGTAGGCACAAAATCCTACCACTAGCTGAAGAGCTACTGGCATTTGATAGCTGCTGGGAGAGGGAGAGTCAGTTTTGTTTAATGACATGACCCCTGGGAGGTAAACCGCATACCAGGCCTGGCCTCACTCACAAGGCTACTTGTATAAAACAACCTGGACTTGATGGGGGGAGGGAAAAATAGCAGAAAACTCAAAAGTTGTGTAAGAAGGGAGGAGGAGGGTAAGAGATTTGTTTTAAGAGGGATTAGAGATGGGCGAAAGATACTCATGTATCCTAAAAATGAAATAATATCAATTGTTCTTGTTACAGTAATTTACTTTTATTTCCTATGAGCAAAATATGTTTCTTGTATAAAACACCACTATTCTGAATTATAAATGTTGTTTTTTCCATAAACCATGTTAAAACTTCACTGACTAAAAGTTTTCCATACAATAAATTTTAAGTAGTTCATTGATGTAATATGTTAATAGCACACACAATAGATTATACTGAATGAAAACAACTTGTTGCACAATTTAAATCTGAAAGAATTCATACCTTTGAAATAAATGATAGAATAGTTTAGTGTTTTTCTAATAAGACCAGCTCATTTTAAGAGTCCATTTAAAAACAAAGGCTCTTCTAATATGTATAATACACTGTCTAAATACTCCCATAAAATTAATTTACTCTTAAATTGCCAGTTGATTTTAATGAGCACCTACGTTATAAAATTTCAAGAAGAAAATTGTCTCCTCTGACATTATTATACAAAAAGAGTCTGAGCCTGTGGCAAGTTAATGCAGGCAAGAGGTAAGGAATGCTTTTATAATTATGATCCGGAGAAAACACAAAGCCTCTCCCAAATTATACCAGTTACATACATAAATGCTACAAAGTAAACCATTTGTTATTATAGTTACTGATTTACATAATTTTACCACTTTTAAAGATTCTTAGATAAGAAATGAGAAGAAACACATAGTCATAGATTTTTGTTATTGTGTTTCTGTAATAGTTAAGACCTGGAATGTTCCCCAATGGGCCACATGGTTAAAGTTTGTTTTCAGTCTATAATGCCATTCATAGACACTAAGAACCATGAAAGGACTGCTTCTGTTTAAATATGAACCTCTTACAGTAGCTTCATTAGAGAACAGGTGTGTGTTCTGGTGTTATGATTGAGCACAGGCTTTCATATATATTCTACCACACTGAGCTACATCCACAGCACTGAACCAAGCCTTAAAGACAACACAGAAAACACCGTTGTGTCTGATTAACAGCATTGGTGGCTTGAATGTGTTGTGCCTCAGGAATATATGGAAGTAGTATAGTTACTAAGAGTGTTACATTGAGTTTTAAATTGATTGTATCTAAGACCGTAATCAAAAGAATTGTCAGTTCATACAAAGAACAAATTTAATAAATAAAAAGGGATTGAAAAATTAAACTTCAACATAAAAAATCAATTGCTTAGTTTTGCTGAATCTTTCATTTTGAAGGAAAAAACATATATATACATATATATGTATATGTGTGTGTTAGAAAGTCAAAGATAAAGTTTAAAATATTGAGTCACTATACTGAATTCATAGAGAAAACAAAAAGCAACAGTAATGTATTGAACCAAAAAGATGCCTAAATTCTTTCTCTGCACAGATTGGCATACATAGTAAAATACAAGGTGAACTTTTATACATTATGTTTGTGTATTACTAAATATATCACCATTTGGAATGCAATAGCTTAAATTTCAATGTATCAAGAATACAAACATTTTCATCTTTTCTAAATCCGTTTATTTTAAGAAGAATCATCTGTAGTAAAACATTACAGAAGTCCATATAAATATACATCTTTATTATTATAATTTACGCAGACTGCAAGAATTTAAAGTTAATATTTAATATGGAGAAAAAATACAAAAATAGTATTCAAAGTCAACACAAAATATTTACAAATTACAGTTCAGTTTTTGTAAGAGCCAATATTATAAAAAGTGTAATGCAATGCAGGAACGTAAACTGGAATTTACTAGCCATTTCATTTGAGATGAGAATCTCAAAGCTATAGAAAAGTGGCTTTGTACCCATGTAGATCACTAAAGAAAAAGAAAAGAAAAGTTTCCTTAAATTTTAATCACTTAATCTATTGTAGCAGAAAGATAATTTTCATAAACTATAACCATCCTGTACTAATCTTCTGCTTTTTACTTACTGTATTTACACAATCTGAAATGAACTTCTGTAAAGACTAGTTATTATTGGAAACCAAAATGTTGAAAAGCAAGAGATAATATAAAATTAAAGATTTCAATGACAATGAGTATATTATTATTAAAAGAAAGTTTCATGCAATCAATTATGTTTGTTCATGGGGGTTTTCCCTCACCCAATTCCTCCCAGATGCTCCCCATGTCCCACTAACTTAACTCCACGCTCTTTCTTTCTCTCTTTCATAAGTCCTGCTGCATTTTTTTCTCATTAGGTGATTTTTAAAATCTTTGTGCTAATGTTGAGTAAAAAAAGTATTCAAATGAAATCTACCTCTGGTGTTGAGATCAAATGGGCACTCATCTATATATGAGTTTTCAAAAAAATTAAATTAATTTTAGGAATTCTTGCAGCACATTTTTAATCTATAATCTGGCTTTCCATAGGGATTCCATTAGAATGCTGATAAATAAAGCCTGGTTGAGGGTTGCCAATTTTTTAATACGGTGTCAGATTGCTTCCTAGTCCTGTATTTAGTTTTTTAACAGTGTTTACAGAAAGGCTGATACCCAACTATGTGCATTTTGGAGACTTATATACACTGTGCCTTGTTTTTGCACACTATCTTCTTTGTAGAAATGTGACTATTATACAACTGAGTTGTTAATTTAAAGGATTCTTTCACTTATGTCCTTAATAGCACATAAACCTGATAAAAGATACCTTGAAAAGGATCAGGGAAGGAGACAGTGCGTCTTCTAGCTCATTTAGATGGACCACAGCACAATAGTGTTTCTAAAAATAGGCAGAAATCGACCGTGCTTGTTTTCAATGGAGGAACAGCTTTGCCATTTAGTTATTTTCTCTCAGGGACGGAACAAGCTTGATGAAATAATAAATGCCAAATTGCTTTCCATCCTTATTTCTAGGCAGCCTTTTGTATGAGCTGATGAATAACAACTATCAAGTCTAAAGGAAGGTACCTACAACAGTCTTGTCTGTTTCTTATAAGTCCTTGTCTTTCAATAGCCTAACTTGAGCTGCTTAGTTTTAGAACATGCCTAATCTGTGATTTTGTAGCAACAGTAGCACTTTTTATCCACCTGTTCCATATAAAAATATTTTCTTATCTCTTCAGCCTCCACAGTCTGTCCTAGAGACTCTGATCATGTCTTATTGTTATTCATTGTTTGGAAAAATATTGATAAGACAAGACAGTCCCCAACAATAGGCCTTCGGTGATTTCCAGAAGAAGGATCATCTTCTAATTATAACTTTGTGTTGTGTGATTTATAACTTCATTATTGTTATTGAGATTGGAGTCGGTCTTTACTCCAAGAAGCCAGTTTCGGCTTCAAGAAATAAATTGAAATAGCCAAATTGATAGTGTAAAACAGAAATAAGAGATTTAATCAATGTGATCACATTGGTGAAAAGGAACAAAGAGATCCAGTGACTGCCCTTTGGCCCCCAAATGCGTCTTTGGGATCCTGAAGTGAGTTAAAGCATAGATAGTGGGCCATGGAGTTGTAATTTAAGCATTCCTGGCCAAGGCGTGGGACTGCCCATCACTTATTACTGAACCATTCTTTTCTGTGCTCTGGTGTCTCCAGTAAGGTACTCTAACACGATGTCAGCATCTCATAAAATATCTTCCTGGGAGACAAGTTCATCCTCTGCTGGTCACCAGGATTCAGCCTTTTCTTTCTGCCATCAGGAAATTCCTAAAGAGTATTTTTTAATCAGTACTCTGATAATCAAATTGAGGGACCTGAATGTTTCTTTTTAGAATATATTCAAAGATCTAAAAACAGACTCAGAAAGCAACTTAAGGAATTTATTGGAAACAGAGAAAACATCAGGACAGGCAAGTTGGAGATCTTGGCAGCTGCCCAGGGGAAGGAGATGAAAAGGAGAGAAATGTTATACTTTCTGAGTTAAAGTGGAGTCTTTGAGTATGTGTATGGAGGTTGGACAGCCTCAAGGTGTCAGTGAATATCAAGGTCATCAGGTGTTAAAACACAAGGCGGACATATGCTCAGGCCACGTTCTGTACAGCATCAGTTCCCTCTCTGCAGTCTCATTGCCACTGGCAGTCAACTGAAAGGGAGTCTGCTGGTGACTCTAATTTTCTAGCAGACTCCCTACATAAAAGTCCCGGGACTTTTCAAAAAGGCTTGCCAGACTCAGGCAGCAGAGAGCTAATATTGGTTATCAGTGACAGTGCATCTCCCCACCATGGCTTTCCATGCTGCCCCAAACGTCTCCACTTCCTCAAATACCTGTAAGAATGGGCCCCCAAATCTACTTAGCTGGAGCCCCCATATGTTGTCTGTCTATGATTCTGGGGCCTGAATTCCTGAGTCCCACATCATGCTGTTTCCTGTCGGACTGTGGTGTTAAACATTCTTCTAATAAATGTCTTGCTCCCAACTTTCCATGTCCCCTTTGAACCCAGCACTTGAGAACTTTCAGCAAGCTTAAAGTCAGAAGCAGAATAGAAAGAGGGGAGGAAAGGGAGAAAGCTACACTTTCTGAAGTGAACTCAGTGGCCTAGGTTAGCAGTGAGAGTGTGAAAGCAACTGCTTGAAGGGCAGGGCTTTTGGAGGCCTTTAAATTCATATTTCATTATGGATATTGTTATTTCTCTTGTTATCATGTCTTCAAGTGTATCATATTTCTTTTTAACCTTTGGATTTATGTTGGTCGTTAGGTTGTAAAAGAGGATTTCTCCTCATCACAGAAGATCTCTCTGGCCTTGTGTGGCTAAAGGAAGCACTTATTATCTACCAAAAAGTGTATTAACCACTGACCAAAATATTTGAAAATCATGCTATTTGTGTTAGAAGATGCCAACATCATAGTAATCATATCTACTAATACATGTGGTCCCAGGACAAAGGAGCTTCCCAAACCAAGCTGTGAAAGGAAGGATGTTACCAGACAGAGAGCATGCCATTAAGTGGCAAGACTCTGGCATAGTTAATTTTCCTATTCCCAAATAGTAACTGGGAAGCAGTTAGTTGCAAATGATCACTTTTATTCTGTCTTCTTGTCTATTATCCCTTATGGTAAGGACCAGAATCAAATCAGTCCCTTTTTTTCTATAAGGGCTGCTTCCATAGTCTCCACAAATTCATTGTTCCTGAGTTCAAGACTTATATTGCCCTCCATGCCACACCATGGTCTTTTCTGGCACTGGTTGTTTGATTTTTAAAATTCAGTTAGATTTAGTGTGCCTAATGTTGAATATTGGGTGTTTAGTAATCTCTTACTGTTTCAGGTAGAGTGACACTGTAAATAGTAATAAATCAGGATCAGAGTTTGACATACTTGGATTTTTCTTGTCTTTTATTTTTGTGGGAAACACCATATTTTAGACAGCATATATTTTAGACTATCTCTCTCATCACTTGCTCTTTTGTTTATTGACTAGTTGGATTATTTTGACAATGTCTATGTCCCCCTCCCTTATGGCACGACAGTAATGATGATCTTTGTATGGATGTATTGCCTTCATATGTTTGCCACATAGTCACCATGGGAGTGGTTTTGTCATGGCTCACTTTGATCATCTGTTTCCCTGACCACTCTCAGCCGTTACTCTCTATTCAGTGCTGATTGAGAAATACACTGCTCAACAGATTTGTCCAATTAAATTCAGGCTCCTTTGAAGAAATAATGTTTTAAGCTATACTTGAAATTGTTCTGACCCCAACAGCAAGTCTTCTTAAGTATCTTTATCCTCGATTATTTTGGCAAGATAGCTTGCTTATTACTTTAGCTTCTATTTGTAATGATTCTATTTCCTCTTAATTGCTTCTAACCACAGACTCTATTAATTATTGAGAGCATCATAAGCTTTGGCTTTATACTCTGTTGCAAGTAGATTAACTCTCTGAGGGAAAAGATGCAGAAACCTGCTGCATGAGTTGCATTACTCCCTGGGCAAAATTTTTGTTGTGTGGATATGGACCTGGGGGATAGGGAGAAATGATTAAGAGTGTGGAAGCAGTCCTTCAAATCCTATCCAGAGTAACTCCATCTTGCTGCAGACACCATTTAGCTGTTCTGTGCAACCAAATTCAACAAAAAGCCGTTCATTCCAAGCTTAGATGGAGTCTGCCAAGACCAGGAGAATCCTTGATAAGAGTAAGGACATAATGCATGGAAATTTAGAACTCTCAGAATCTGGTTGTATTTATGGCATGTATCAATTGAGCATAGTGTCTCCTCATCTGCATTAACAATTGGTAGTGCTCTGAACTCAGGCTTGCATCCATTCTGTTGTAGACATAGAGCTGTATAAGTTAGGAACATGATGAACAGAGATGGGGGAGTGAATGGTATAATAAGTGGACTTTAGAAAAATAACAGCTGTGCTAATAGTCCAGTGCTCCATAAGTAACTACAAATAAACTCAATTTACTCATTAACTTCAATAAGTTATTCTTTGGGATGTTTATATTATTTTAGGTTGTAGTCACATGTTAATTATGTAGCTCCCTGAAAAAGTCATGCAACAGGTGATCTTTTAATAATTGATACTCTTCTTTAGGAAGTATGTACTCAATGACTGTATTATTGGAGACAGGAGCTCTGCGATACAGGCAATAAAAAGGACACCCAGCCAAGTATGCAGGAATACAGGTAAGGCTTTAATGAAATCTTTAATTAATTCTTTTGTTTGCAAGAAAAAGGGAGACATCATAGGGCAAAGAGGAGATCACATTGCTATCTGAACATAGGGAGAGAGTTGCTGGGGAGGGCTATCTAGCAGTCTCCATCTTGCACTAAGAACGTCAGATGTATAAGTTGCTGCAGCTTCTCTCTCAAAGGGCATGAGAGGGAAATAGGAAGTACTCTAAAGGACTGTGTCTTCTAGAGAAGAATCTCTTTACCCTGCTGGGGGCTTAATACACTCAGCAGTGTTCGGTCCGTGTTAGGGTTTTCATCTTATAAGGGATGACATCATAAAATATGGGGGGGGGCATCTACATCTACACTGCATTCACTTTGAAATCAGATTTGGGAAAAAGTAGGTTGAAACAGGATTAAATCTTTAGGTGTTCTGCTCTTTTAAGAAGCATCACTCTGGCCGAGCATAGGTGGTGCACGCCTTTAATCCCAGCACTCGGGAGGCAGAGGCAGGCAAATTCTGTGAGTTCAAGACCAGCCTGGTTTACAGAGCTAGTTCCAGGACAGGCTCTTGATGGGGGAAGTCCTGTACATTTATTAATAAAGCACTGCTGGCCAATAGGAATCTAGATAGGTGGGACTAGGAGTCCACGAGGATTCTGGGAAGGAGAAACACAGAGAGTTTGAGATGTAACCGTCATGGGGTAGGAAGCCCGGAAACTTCTCTGGTAAGAGACATACTTAGATTAACAATTATGGGGTAATTACTTAAGTCAGAGCTAGCCAGTAAGAAACAAGCAAGGCCAACAGCTTCATAATTAATACAGTGTCTTGTGTGTTTATTTGGGGACTACAACGTGGCAGAGCCCAGGCAGCTGGGGGGGGGGGGGATAAACCAAAGCAGCTAGTAAAGGAAAGCTTCTTGTAACAGGCTCTAAAACAACATAGAGAAACCCTGTCTTGAAACACCAAAAAGAAGAAGAAGAAGAAGAAGAAGAAGAAGAAGAAGAAGAAGAAGAAGAAGAAGAAGAAGAAGAAGAAGAAGAAGAAGAAGAAGAAGCATCACTCTGTAGCTGGAGGAAGATAATGCCCTATTTTATTAACTACAACAGTCTTGCATCTCCCTGTGTAAGGGAGAAAAAGGGTGTGGAAACTGGCTCAGGTATCACAGTCTCTCATTATTATTATTGAATTTATATAGATTTTCTTGATTTAAAGTTGCTTTGCTTGATGTATGACCTTAATATCACTTCTAAAGAATGCAGTCAATTGGATTAAAAAACAATTTTGGAGACTGGGAGATATTTTAATAAAAAATGCTTTCTATGAAAACCTGAGTACCCAAGTTCAACCCCTAGCATTCATGTAGAAGCTAGGGGTTTTGACACGCATAATTCTGGTGCTGGGGAGGTGGAGGCAAGTTGATGACCTCTGGGGTTCTCTGGCAAGCCAATCTAATTGAATCACCAAGTTCTAGGTCCCAGTGAGAGACCCTGTATGAAAAAATAAAAGATGCAAAGTTCCTGAAGAACAACATATTGCACATTTGCCTGTGCAGTATACACATGTAAACCAGCATACACAAGAACATGCACACACTCCAACACCCATGTAAATAACAAATTTTATCAATGTCCCTGAGAGAAGATCCACAAAGCTCCTAGGAATATCACACCTGAAGTGTTATTTACAGAAATCTTACTAATAGATTCTTTAAAAGGCTATTCATCTTGAAAATGCCAGAGGCACAAATATGAATATAGATTATGAAAACCCTTGATTCCCATGCCTACTAGTACACCAGTTGAAGCTTTTCATCATGAGTAGTATGCCATTGCCTGGCTTCAAGTGTTTTAGGTACCCAAAACTCTAGTAAAGCTTAGTTCCAAGGATTATTGTTATGTGGCTAGATTTTGCTAATGACATAGGAATAGCACCTCCCTAACTGAATAACTTACTCTTCTGCTGCTGTGATAAAACACCATGACCAAGGCACTTGCAGAAGGAATGGTTTTTTGGGGGGGGGGCTTATGGTTCCAGAGGAATGGGTTTTTCATGATAGGGAGGCATGACAGCTGGAGTAGGAAGTTGATAGCCTACATCCTCAACCACAGCCATGAAGCAGAATGAGTGAACTGAAAGTGGTGAGAAGCTTCACAATCTCATAGCCATCCTCAAGTGGTGTACCCTCTCTAGCAAGGCTAGACCACCTACTCCCACCTTCTTGAACAGCACCGCCAACTGGAGACTAAGTGTTCAAGTAACCTAAATTATAGGGGACATTTTTATTCCCACCATCACAATAAACCAAAGAAGTTTCAGTACCTTCTGGACTATAGCTCTATAATAGAGTTTGAAGTCAGGTGTGGTGATGCCTCCTGAAGTTCCTATATTGTATAGGGTTGTTTTTGCTATCCTGGGCCTTTTGTTTTTCCATATAAAGTTGATTATTGTTCTTTCCAGGTCCTTGAAGAATTGTGATGGAATTTTGATAGGGATTGCATTGAATCTGTAGACTGCTTTTGGCAAGATTGACATTTTTATTATGTTGATCCTACCAATCCAAGAGCATGGGAAATCTTTCCATTTTCTGGTATCCTCTTTGATTTCTTTCTTTAAAGACTTAAAGTTCTTGATATACAGGTCTTTCACTTCCTTGGTTAACATTATCCCCAGATATTTGATGCTGTTTATGGCTATTGTAAAGGGTGATGTTTCTCTGATTTCTTTCTCAGTCACTTCATCATCTGTATATAATAGGGCCACTGATTTTTTTGAGTTTACCTTGTATCCTGCCACATTGCTGAAGGTGTTTATCAGCTCTAGGAGCTCCCTTGTGGAGTTTTTTTTTATTTTATTTTCCAGTTTAAATTTAGATAAGAAACAAGGTTGCTTCACAAGTCAGTCCAGGTCCCTCTCCCTTTCCCTCCCCTCCTCCCGTGCCCTCCCTCCAACCTCTCCCACCCCCCCCCCCGTTATCCCCTCATTCCCCCAGGGAGGGTGAGGCCCTCCATGGGGGTGTCCATAGTCTGTCATTTCATATAGGGCAGGGCCTAGACCCTTCCCCAAGAGTTCAGGGTGAGAGTGCACCTCACATTGTTCTATGGGAGTCCAAAGTCCGTGTGTATACTTGGGGTGGGAACTGATCTGCTGCCCTTGTGGAGTTTTTCCGGTCACTTATGTAAACTATCATATCATCTGCAAATAGTGAAAGTTTGACTTCTTCTTTTTCTATTTGTATGCCCTTTATCTCCTTTTGTTGTTTTATTGCTGTAGCTAGAACTTCAAGTACAATATTTAAGAGATATGGGGAGAGTGGACAGCCTTGTCTTGTTCCTGATTTTAGAGTAATTGCTTCGAGTTTCTCTCCATTTAGCTTGATGTTAGCTGTTGGTTTACTGTATATTGCTTTTATTATATCCAGGTATGTTCCTGTTATCCCTGATCTCTCTAGGACCTTTATCATGAAGGGGTGCTGGATTTTGTCAAAGGCTTTTTCAGCATCTAGTGAGATGATCATGTGGTTTTTCTTTCACAGTTTGTTTATATGGTGGATTACATTGATAGATTTTCTAATGTTGAACCATCCCTGCATTCCTGGGATGAAGCCTACTTGATCATGGTGGATGATTTTTCTGATGTGTTCTTGAATCCAGTTTGCGAGTATTTTAATGAGTAGTTTTGCATCGATGATCATGAGGGAAATTGGTCTATAGTTCTCTTTCTTATAACAGTGATAGCCACAAACCCGGCAGGGAATCCTTGCAGTTAATTTGTGGGAATGGGCCGTGTCACTTCCTTCAGCCCTGTCACTTTAAGTGTTTGTAGTATTTGTGAGGAGTAAGGGGAATTGAAGATAGGGAATACAGTCAGGGCATTGATACTGTGGCAAAGGCACATCTGTTTAGTATAAAGCGGCACAAAACACCAAGAGAAGCCCCGCAGGTCCATGGGGAAAGGGTAGACAAAATATTTAACATAATGCACCTGTAACATTTGTGAAATTTACAAGGCTTAGGAGAAGGCTTCTGTTAGAGGCCTGCATGATATCTATATAATGATTTTAAATGTTTCAGTCAACGAATTACCTGTTAAATAAGACAACGTGTATCTGTTACTGTTTATTGGCTGCGGGCTGACTGTTTTCAGGTTCTTGACCTTTTATCCAAAAACTGGAAAGGAAAGGCTCACAGAGACTTGTGAAGGACGTAAGATAACTTTTCTGTGGAGCAAAATAGTAGTGTAAATTGTTAGAGGAATATGCTGTTAAGTCTGACAGTAGGTTACATGAGTCAGAGCACTCTATGATCCTGGGCTGTATCTTTCTAAGGATCTATGAGAAAGACAGGCTGGTTCCTAAGAAATGTATTTTCGGTGGTTCTCTATCTTGATCCATAGATTAGGTTCTGTGCATGACCCTTCTCGAAATACATTTGATTTCAATGATATTCACACCCAATTGCATGTACCCGTAAGATGGTAAATAGGATTCTTGACAAGAGGTTACTAGAGGATAGTTATGCTTTACTGAGCATGCTCAAACCTACTTCAGGTCAGACCTGTCCTAGTCTTTTTTTATATCCCAATATGTCAGAAATACACTTGAATGGAACTTTTTAAATTTGATTGTGAGCTGGGACAGAGAAACTTACAACGTTGGTCAGAAATGGGAGTAAGTGTAGCCCAATATGAGTTAGGGGTGGAGGGAGTTATGAAGGTGCTAGGTACATTATTTGGAGTAGGGTGTGTCTGAGGATTTTTGTTGCTGTGAAGAGACACCATGACCACAGCAACTCTTTAAAGAGAACATTTAATTGGTGTGACTTGCTTACAGTTTCAGAGGTTCAGTTCATTATTATCATGGAGGGGAGCACAGTGGTGTGTATGTAGACTTGGTGCTGGAGTAGGAGCTGAGAGTCCTACATCTTGCAGGCAACAGGAAGTTGACTGAGACACTGGGCAGTATCCTGAGCACAGGAAACCGTAAAGCCTGTCTCCACAGTGAGACACTTCCTTCAACAAGGCCATACCTACTCCAACAAAACCATACCTCCTAATAGCATAACTGCCTATCAGATTATGGGGGCCAATTACATTCAACTACCACAAGGTGTACATTTAGTATATGTAGAAGAAGGAAGCCTACCAGGTAGATTGCTACAAGAGTATGCATAACCCAAACTCAAATGGGTACACCAAACTGACTCACAAGCTTGCCTGGCTCAAGTGGGCTTTGAGTACTCCTGCTCACACGGCAGACTGTCAGTCTTAGCAGTGCATGACTCTACAACCTACATTATCAGTTTGCACCAAATGAATTTATCTTGCTCTTTTAGTAAATTTGCATGAGCTCTTATTTTTAACTCTTTGGATAAGAGGCCAAGAACCTGAACACAAAAGACCTGGGCCCCATCCACCCCATCCACTAGCAAAATTTTTATTCCATAATAAATCCACCATAGTAAAGACCCAAGAGGTTAATTTTGAATTTATAATTCTTTGACTGCTGTGCACTTTATACTATCAGAGTGGGAATACTGACCACTACCCTTCTAGCCCCTTGGCCTCAGGTAAGCCTATAATCATTTGTCTCTACCCACTTTCCATCCCTGACATCGACAGGCCACACCTATATGCATGTGAATATCTCAAGCCAAGGTTCTATGTGGATACTCCAACAGTTATTCCTCAAACTAACCAGAAAATAATTACATACAGGAACTATCAAGATTAGGGCATTGATATTGGGACAAATGTACATCAGTTTCATCCCCCAGAAAAGGTCATGTGGGCAGCAAAAAGCAATGTTAACTCCTCAAGGTAGTTACTACAGGCCCACTGGGAATATGTAAACTGAATATCTAGTAGAGCTGTATAATTCTTTGTCTTGTTGCTGTGATGAAACACTTGGAAGAAGGAAAGATTTATTTTGGCTCACAGTTTGAGAGAATATAATCCGTCATGGAGGAGGAGCATGGCAGT